AATGGAGCTGGTGTGAAAAATGCAAAAGGGCAATTTTTGGTGGTTTTGTGATTTTTCTTCACTTACAAGTAAAGAGGGAAAGAAGGAGAGCTATGTGCTTATGATGTTTTGGATAGCTCTGGTGTCCTTTAGAGAGTGTCAAGAAGTCTCTATTTATAGGCCATGAGAAACTTGGGGCAGATTTGGTTGCATTGGCCTTTGGAGGGAAATTTGGAGAAAATCTTCCACAAAATCTTGGTACATCTTCATCCATCATGCTCTTGGCTCAATGCAAGCAAGAAATCAAGGGGAATGAGGTATGTGAGGTGACTGAATAGTGCATAGAGTGATAGGGGTCACAACTGCTCCAGATTTTGAGCAAAAAGTTTCTCTTTCCTATTGAATTTCTTGAATATTATATTGCCACTTGCTTGCCACCTTGCCAAGCTCTCAAATCCTTCACTTATTCTGCATCTCTAACCAACAAATATCTTAATTATCAGATTAAAACATGATCAAAGGGCTGAGGATGGTTCAAGTTGTTGAAATTTGAATTTGAGAAAAAGTTGGAATGGTGACTTCAAGTGTGGCAGCCTCAACTTCCATGATCCATAACTCTCAGCTCACAAATGCTATTGAAGAGTTATAGTACTTTTTGAAAAGCCCTCATGTAGCTCTACAACTTTCATGTTTTTGATATTTTCAAATTTCCATTGAAACTAGGTCAAAAGACCTCTCAAAATTGCTGAAAAACATGCCTAAAAGGCCAAATAACTTAGAATTTTTTCTTAGTTACTTCCCTTCTTGAAATGAATTTGGTCATAACTCCAAATCTATGCATTTTCTGATCATGGACCACTTTTGGACTTTTTTAGGACTTGTCAAAGGATTTCCAATGAACTTTGAACCAACTCAATTGGATGTGTGGTTGAGGAGTTATGGTCTTGCCCCTTTCAAAACCCTAATTCCCGACTTTTGTGATTACTCCTCAATCCTTGATCCAATGGTCATGAAATTTTATGGGTAGATGCAATATGTCATTAGGAACATTTTTTATTCACATCTTGAGGTCAGATTCCTTATGAGTGAATAGTTGACTTTTTGGTCAACCGAACGATCAATCGATGACTACCGAGTCGACTGTTGATGTTCCGGGTCTTCCAAGACCTTGAAAATTCTTGAGTAGAATTTACTAAGCCATATGAAATTCATGGGCCATGATCCCACCATTGGAACACCTTTTAAATCAAAAGTCAAACTACAGTTGACTTTTCCTGATCGAAAACCCTAATCGGGTATCCTGAACTACACTGTTCTTGATCCTTGGGTGACAACCTCAAATTGGATTCATACTTGATCCAATGGAGTATATTTGATGATATGGAGACTCGATTCAAGGAGAACCAATCCAAAACGTTGACTAATTAACCCTCGAAACCTCGATTTTGGCTGTACAAAACCCTGATTCCTATATCTTGACAAAGACAAACTTGAAATAGGTTATGGTTAGATAATCAAATGAATATGATCCTAAAATGATGATGAGGATCTAAGGGGTCAAAATTTGGGGTGTAACACAAAGAAACTCAGGGAAGGTATGTTTTCACGCGTTTTTATGTTTTGTATTTCTTTGAAGATTTTTCTTCGATTTGGGGATTTAGGGTTTATTCATTTTAATACCCATGGAATCATTTGTCGGTTATGTTTATTTTGATTTTGGGATTTAGGTTTTGTTCCTTTTATTTATAAACCATTTATGTTTCATATGTCTATTCTAGATGGAATTTTTTTGGTTGAGAGAAATGTTTCAGACTAAGGATATGGATAAAATTGTGTAATGATTTTCGATGAACTCAAAGTTGGTCTCAGAAGATATATATGTATCCTTTGGTTTGGTTTTGACTAGTAGAGACTAAGAGTAAGAGGTTTTCATTGAAGAAGGGTTCTGATTTGTAGAGAGTAAGAGTAAAAGGGTTATGATTCTCAGTTGATAGTTAATATAAGAAATTTTATAAGGATTTGGTAAAGGTTATTAAAGCCTCTGATGTCATACTTTGGATCCTTGATGTCGGAGATCCCTTGGGTACTCGTTGTGTTGGCATAGAAAACATGGTGATGAAAGAAGAACTTGAGAAATGTCTTGCTTAGCTTTTAAATAAAATTGGTAACTTTTCTGATCACTCTTTTCTCCTCTTTCTCCTTTTAGATTTTTTTCCCGATGAGTACTCATTTGTGCTTTTAATTCAGATCTTATTCCCCGAGAATTTATGGAGAAGTGGCTCAAGTGCAGTACATAATAGAATTACCTAATGTCTCTTTCAAGTGCAGTACATAATAGAATCTGTCAAACTTAGGATGGAAATCTTCTAAAAAAGTCAGGCCAAGTATTACTTTGCAATTTAATGATACTCTTAGAGCTGAGGCACTGCTCAAACTATTGAAGAATTATTCAAGAAAAAGCTACGAGGTAACAGAAGATCAGTTTTATGTATAATATTAAAAGATTACCTATTGTTGATTTACCTACTGTCAATTTAAGTGCATTCATACATGAAAATTGCTTACATTTTCTTCTATTAACTGTCTAATAAAGTAAAAAAAAAGAGTTTGTGTGCCATTATCTGCATTAAAAGGTCTTGGCCGCCATTGTAACTCGCGAATTCTACACTTTTGGGTCTATGACATGGATGCTTGAGTGGTGGTTCACTAGAAAATAAGTGATATAAGAACTCTAGATAGATGACTGTTATGATTATATGCAAACTTGAAAGTTGAGAGAGTTGTGATCCATCAGAATTAATTAATATTCATGCTATAAATGTGTCCATGATAATTTGTATTGATTAGATTCACTTTTTCTTTTAATTCGAGATATGACTCTTATATCACTAGATATTGTTAACCATGGGTTGTTTTAATCATTTGGTCCTCTATTTTACGATGTCATAATAACATTTTTCTTATGCATTTTTGGGTGATCATGCACTCTCAATGGCTTGTAGTCACTACTGCATTTTAATAGCATATAAAGTTACATCTCCCTGTCATTATATCTGGTTCGAGTGGGCCATGGTTGCTTTCTAGTACTGGCTAGAATGCTCTTAATTGACTGTGAGCAAAACAGTAAGGACTACCCCGTGACATTATCAGGCATGGTTGACAATATCTTTCACGCCTTCTCGTACTTATCTTTGAATTTTTGTGATGATTTAATTCTAATATTATTTTTCTCCGGCCTTTTATTCGATATACTTGGATAAACAACATTGTAACTTAGGGGACTCAATATGTTGGAAGCTTGTTTCGAAAGATTTCGTAGTGTGAGTGCTACATTAGACTTAGAATTCTGATTAGTTAGATTTTGCTTCAAGCCTATTCTATTAGAGTTTTATTCCGTAAGCACTCTATTAGATTTTTATTCAGTAAACTCTCTATTAGAGTTTTATTCAATAAGATCTCTATAATTACCTAGTGTAAGCACTTCACAAGTCCCAAAATTGTTTTAGAGTTTTATTAGTAAGCTCTTTATTCAGTAAGTTCTATTAGAGTTTTATTCAACAAGCTCTCTATAGTTACCTATAAGACTGACATGAAGTCTTTATGGTTTACTTTTTGTTCTGTTTTCTAATGACACTGTTATGGTTTTGACTCTATTCACTACAATCTTTGCTTAACCTTTACATATGTGCCCCTCAATGGTTGGTTTATGCTTAACTTTCAAGCATTGCATAGATGCTTTCCCTTGGTCATCAGTTTACAACACTTTTATATTATAATGTGTTTTGTTTTTGTGATCTTGAAGGTTGTGTTTTATGTCTTAGCCTTTTCCTGGTTGCTTTTAAGGATGAATGTGAAGTTATAACTATAGATTTAAGTGTGAAGAAAGGTGGATTCATATCTAGATTCAAGTGTGAAGCAAGGAGGCTGCAGTGCTCTTTTATTGTCTGTCACAACATGGATTCATTATGTTTCTACAACATTAACAAAGCTCTGACATATAACTTTTAGGACAAGTTGCTTCTATTATGTTCAACACTATAGTATCCATTGATGGCACCCAAAACATTTGATAACACCAGCAGAGTTGCTTTCGGAAGTGGATACTCGCTGAAAGGCCACGCCGATAAAATTTCAGCTTCTATTTCATGACGATTTGCATTGATTTACAGTTTCGGTAAGTTCCTCATTTGTTAGTTTCTTTGAGAGCCATTTGTTAAGTGAGCAAATAGATATGATATATTCTAACTTCAACTTAGAGTATTGTTGTCTTTTATTGCTTGCATTATGTTTCCAAAAGTAATTTTAAAACAAAAGTGGATGAACAATGTTCTTAAAAAACTCAACAAAACATAGAGAAACCCTTTGCTTTACTAGTAACTCCTTGAGTTTCTTTATTAGTTTAGTTTATGATTAGAGTCTATATAGTCCTGAAAGGGCTTCTTTAATTCCTGCAGCAACTTCTCGTTATGGCTGGGATAATTGTTTAGCATCTTAGAAAACTAATTCTTCTAGAGCTATGATAGGATAATCAGAAAGTGTTAGTGTTAGTTTTCAATAGAAAATGATAATTGAATTACATACCCGCAATATTTTTGAGATTGCCGTTAAACCATACAAACTTTCATCATATTAGATAATTAATATCTAATTATATTTAAAATCATTCTATGCACACACTGTGACTCATTTTCATTATGTATAACTATGATAAAAACATGAGCAAATACCAGAAGCACAATAATTTATGTAACATAGTTGAAGTTGCAAACAGTATCGAGAGAAAAAGCCACAGATTTAGGCAAAGTTTCATATCTGAATACAGTTAAGTTATCTCCATTAGAAATAACAAGAACAAAACTTAAAAGAGTAAAAAGTAAAAACTAGTCGTAGGTTTTAGAGACACAAATTTACCTAGTCATAAATATCAGCAACATACAAAGGATGGAAACTTGGATGTGACAAAGTAGGACCTGTGATGACAAGAAATAGAGAAGAAACTCTTGTACTGTTGGAAAATAATTATGAGCAAAACACTCCACCAAAGAGGCCACAGATTTAAAGACTACTATGATAGCATGGCTAGTTTGGCATCAAATATGCTGGTGTGGTTTTTTTTGTTAACTCTTAAAGTATTTATAATTTGGTGTATGAAGTTGTTGTCCGTGAATTTGTGAAAATGATATAGGGATCGGAGTCAAGGCCAGAGAGCAACAATTTTTTGGAACCTGCTTTCACTTCAGATCTTGCCATTTATTATGTGCAAACTAAGTGCACTCAGGATAACATTCTATTCCCGCTTATTTACCAAGTAGGAGGCACTGATGTGCATCATCATATGGAAACATTTCCATACACGATAGCAGGCTTTCATGTGGATAAAGGTATGGGATTACCTTTTAATGGTAATGTATGGTAACATTATCGGAAGGGGTTGCCGTGATTTCATACAACTGTGTCATTTTTTATGTTTCCACGAGCTGTGTAGTGTTGACTAAGGCTATCCTGTATGTGTTTATATGGAAATGTGTCCTTATGGAAGTGCAATGTGAAGGTGAGAAAATATTTAGAAGGGGGGGTTGAATAAGTATGAAGATAAAAACTTAGAAGTAACAACTCAAGTATTTTTATCCTGGTTCGTTGAACTCAACTACTCCAGTCTACCCTTTCTAGAGTGATTTGCCTTTCTCAAACAAGGACTTAATCCATTATTTAATCAACTGATTCCAATAGTAAGCACTAAGAACAACTGTTCAAAGTCTTCTCAAGAACTACTGATCCTAACTGGATCTTCTTAAGGTTTTCTTACAATCTAATGTAATAACAAATACAAGTGCTAAAATGCTTCTAATAAAGCTTTATCACAACTGTGATTTTTCACTTAAGATTAAGAACAAAGAAATTAATTCTAGAAAGAATATATGAGTTGTATGAGAGCTTTGATAATGAATTCTTTTCAAGTGATTCGTCAACTGAAGAAGATGAGTGGAGACTTGTTTTTATAGGCACAGTGATCCAAGAGCTTTTCACATTGAGAAGTGTGTACTAAAAGGCCTGAGCCTTTTTTTCTTCATGTCAAGTGACCTTTCCTAGAAGAAGAAAGCACAGAGAAATCCTTTTTGTCTGTGTTCTTGTGTCTAGCATAAATAAGGAAAGAGTCGTTTGGATATTCCAACGGACATAATCTTTGAATTCTTCTTCAACAATTTTCAACAAGAATCATCCGATTCTAATTTGATCAGAGCCTTATGATGTTGGTTAGAGTTTTGTTGAATCAGAGTCTTTGCAGCAAGTGTGCTTTTAGTGTGTATAAGTTCAGAGCAGAGTTTTGGGTCAGATCCTCAGTACTGGCAGCGTTAGTACTCTCAGAGTCTTCTGAAGTAACTATGCTTGAAAACTCTTCATACAAAATTCTTCATTGGTTCTGATGCTTCTGACTTGCTTCAGATTCTTCTGGAGCTTCTGCTTCAGATCCTTCTGGAGACAACGCTCAGGATCTTCTAATGGAAGCATTCAGAATCTTCTAATGGGTGCATCTGACGCTTTAGAGCCTTGCATATTTCTTATGTTCAGATCTGATTTGCTTCTGGAGTGATATTTACTTTAATATCTGCAGCAAACATTCTTAAGCAAATTTTAGAGTATATAATTCTTAATTACAAAATTTCATAATAGTTATCATCAAAACATAGAGATATTATTAAGAACCAATCTGTGTTCTAACACAATGTTTTGTGTCGTTAATGGTTGAATTTATTTCCCTTTCATGTAGAAATTGAATGTATTGACGTTATAAAATTTTGGCGTAATAGTTCTTCTGAAATCAACAATGAGTTATATGAAGGTCATGAAAGAAGTTTCCCACAACAGATCAATACAATATTTTCAGGTGCTTTTATCATTTATGTTTCAACCTACATAATATATGGAAGATTACACTCATATTTATTGTTTTGACATGTAACAGCTTTTGATTTTCTATATCCGAACGGGAATGGATTCAATGTTACTGTATGGTACAAGTCAACCTACAAGGATGTCACTAATTTTGGTCCTACTGCATTGTTGTGAATTCCTCGATCGGTAAATTTGGTATATATCTAAAACTTTTTTTAATAGTTGCGTCTTCCTTGCCGTTTCTATCCTAAATCTCTTTTGTATAGATAACAACAATAACAACCGACATCACTATGCATGTAGATATTAAATGCATACCTGCAATTTCTGTGTGGGCATGGTACCAATATGAAATGGAATGGTTCCTTCAGATAGAGAAGCTTATCGGTGGGGAGCATATTCTTAGTCTTTGCTGTGATATTTGAAGGAGTAAAACATTCTTATTCTTATTCTTAACAAATACAAGTGTTTTTCAGACAAAAAGCTACTAGAATACCCTACACAACCTGAGGAAGTTTTACTTTTGAAAGAGCGTGTTGGTGAAGCCAAAAGATTAGCAGCAACTAGAAGACTACTAAACTGATTATGAAGGGCTCATGATGATACTAGAAGACCACAAGTGATTTTATTTATTGGTGCTAACTGGAAGTAATGTTTAAGCTTTTGTACATGTTCATGTCTATCCTCTAAGGTAAAATCATACCAAAAAATTCTTCAGCCATCGGTAGAAAATATTGGATCATCACTTGGTGTGGAAAATTGGGCAGAATATCTTGGATCATCATAGGTTGTACAATTATATTGATTATATTGTATATATCAAGTTATAGATTATGACATTTGATCATTTAGATATTCATAAGTATATATTTAGTAGAAAATATAATAAGTTATTTAGAAAAGTGATATAATGAAATATCAATTGTTTTTTAAGTTATATAAATTTATATATTTGTTATATGTGAGTCTTTATATATTTGATTGATATACATGAGTCTTTATATATTTGATATATTACCAAAAAACAATAATAGTTTAAATTAAAAAAACTAATATTATAAAAAAAATGAGATGAAAGTAATTTAAATAAAAGAAGAATATTATAAAAAAATTCTTTAGATAAAATTATGACGGTTTAAACCGTCGCAACTAGCATAAATAATATTTAGAATTAGTAAATATAATTACGACGGTTTGAACCATCGTTATTTGTATCTTACGTCAATTTCTTAACCGTCGCGACTTATAACGACAGTTGGAGTGGCGGTTTCTAAAACAGCCGCAATAAAGCCTGGCGACACATGTTTCTGAGACAGAACTAAAACCGTCGCGATTTGCAATTTACGTCCGTTAAAACCGCCGTAACATGCCAAAATGAACCGTCGTAACTTGCCAATTTTCTTGTAGTGTTTAAGATCCCCGATGGAGTTATAAATCTCTAGTGAAATTCCTAATCGCATGTGAAGATACTTTCCCATAAGTGATTACTTCCTTAGGAGTTTATTTTGACCTTTTCAAATGGAAGACTTGATAAGAAGAAACCGAGACCTGTTCGTGGCCTACAACCTCGAAATGGTGGGGAAGTTTATTTTAACCTTTTCAAGTGGAATACTTGATAAGAAGAAACTGAGACCTGTTCGTTGCCTACAACCTCAAAATGGTGGGGAAATTTATTTTAACCTTTTCAAGTGGAAGACTTGATAAGAAGAAACTAAAACCTGTTCGTGGCCTACAACCTCGAAATGGTGTTGAAGTTTATTTTAACCTTTTTCAAGTGGAATACTTGATCAAAGAAGAAATTGAGACCCGTTGGTGGTTCGTGACTCGGGGTGTGGGGAGATTTATCATCTTTTCAAAGATATTATTTGATTATTTGAAACTAAATCTTATAGATACGGGAATATGTCATTATTCAATTGTTAGAGTTGTGAATCTTTTCCCAATGGAGTTGCAACCTTTTTCCCAATATAGTTTTCTCCAGTGGCATCATTCCCCACAGAATCCTAGTCTTGTATTCATATCACATCATATCACATCATATCATATCATATCATATCATGAGCATGTTTGTGATATCTTAGGGCAAAAAATTGTGCATGTTTGTATTTAAGTCTCTCCTATCACGTCGAGACGAAATTCAATCTACATATCTTCGGATAGAAGAAACTTAAATAAGGGCATCTGTCACACCCTAATTTTTAACCATAATACTCCACCTCATTTGCATCAGTTTGCATAACATCAATCATCTCATGTGTGTGTCTTATGCATTACTAACCCATTGAAAACACAAAGGTATGTGCCTTGAGTTACTTTGACTGCAAGCTAAGGTTTTGGCGCTAAGAGCTCAAGAAGTTGGCCAATCAAGGACCTATGTGATCTTTAACATCTCAAAATTATCAAAGGTCCCCTTCCATCAACAATTAAGTGCAAAGTTTCATAGACTCAAATTCAATAAGCTCCAAGTCATCTGATGCACCAAATTAGAGTTAACCTAAATCAACCATGAGTTGACTTTTTTAACAAGGCATGATATCACACCTCAAGATATGGTTTAAAGGCCTCAAGTACATCATATTGGTCCATTTATATGTTTGGTTTGGTTCAAGAAGCTTGATTCATTGATGATTGAAGAATTCTAGTTCAATTGAGAAAAGTCAACTGTTGATCAAAGTCAATGTTAGACTTTTGATATTTTTGGTCAAAAATGGACTCCACAAGTCAAGGATCATGAAAATACGTAATATGATTGATTTTTATCATGATCAATCAAAGAAATCATGCAAAGATCAAAATTTGAGAAAATTAGGGTTTTGGAAAATTTTCTAAGTATAAATCCTCATGGCCAAATGACCAACTTTCCAAGAGTGTAACTTATTCCTCAAGCATCCAATGAAAACAATTGAAAGATATTTTGAAATAAGGTATTTGATAATACAAGTTGGTAAAAATTGCAATCCAAAAGCCTTCTTGGATTGGAAGTTATTGATGTTCAAAGTTGGAGTTTCAAGTTGTTTGAAAATCCAAAACACTTAGAAATTTTTCTAAGTTTTCAGCATGGTCAAGTACATGACTTTGATGACTTCTTGTGAATAATTAAAGCCACCTAATTTTATGCTTGATAGCTGTATTTAAAGACCATATTTAATACTTAATTTTGGTGGAAGAGTGGGTTCAAAAGCCTTTACCAATTGAAAATTATGGTTGATCAAAGTTGGGATTTCTTCATGATCAATCTAGTTGAAGATGAACCAAATCTGCCTAAGTCCTAACCAATTTGTTGTGCACGAATTGGATGAGGATTTTGGCCACTTTTCAAGCTCCTTTTCAGAAAGTGATCAACTAAGAAATTATTCCTCTCCATGATATTCTAACAATGGTACCAAATTCTGCCACAATTGATCTTCTTTCATCATAGATAAGCTTGGTCCAATGTGCTACCTTGACATAATTTTGGACATTGCATAAAGGCACCTTTTGATCACAAACCACTTTCCATGATTCAAGGAAAGCTTGACATGAACCAGAACCAACTTGTACAAGTTGTGCAGCCCATGGAAACTTGTGAGGCAATGTCAACTTAGGAGCTAGGAAAGTGAAAAGCACTTTTGTACTTGATTGTCCAACTTTATGACTTTAATCATGATCCATCAAACAATGACAATAACCATTGCATCTTTACTGAGATATTCTACTATAAATAGAGTCTCACTTCATCAGTTCAAACACACTAAGAACACCCCTAAACCTCATCATAACAATCAAACACACTTGCGGCATTTTCATAGTTTCTTCATTGTCATCACAAAACCAAATCTGCCAAAACTTGTTACAGTCCCCAAACACTCGATCTCTTCATCTTAAAACATCACAAATACCTCATATAACTTGCTGAAACTCACCAAACCACTACACTCCATCTCAAATCAGAAGTCAACCCTCATTGGCCACCATAGTTGACCAAAGAGCCAAAGCTTTGAATCTCTCTACCCTTACATTTCCCTTCCATTCAAACACCACAAAAACTTTCCAAATGCATGATAGAACCTTTCGAAACCATTAAACATGACTTGTAACACTAACACAAAAATCGTTTTTCACATTTCTTCATTTTCAAGTTGGTTTGAACAGAAGAACCAAGGGCATTCCAAAGCAAGTTGAGCATCCTAACACCTTTCTGGGAGGTCATTGAAGCTAAAGACATTATCATCCATCATTTGAAACAACTTTGAAGGTGTATTGGACACTCTCCAATAGGTAATCTTTTCAACTTTTCAAACTTCATGATACAAGCACCATTTGCATTCATGTGAGTTACCATTCTGTTTGTCATGATGTAAGGATCAAAAAACCTAAGTTATTGTTGTTTGATTGTGCAAATATGGCATTTAATTTTTGTTTTAAGAATTAGGGTTCTTCTGGTTTTGCCAGAAATTCTTGAGCTAGGATTAAATAAACAAATTTGGTTGGCATATTTGAATTCCTCATAAAAATCTGATTGAAATGGTATATTAGGTTGTCGTGTTTGGTTCTAGAATGAGGATTTCACAAATTTGAAAATCCGATGTCTTGAGGTTGAAGATGAAGTTGCTTCGCGTGTTTTTCTTTTTTTAAATAAATGCATAATATATTATTATTTCGAAGCAAAATATGAACAATGCCTTATGGCCAGGTCTGGTGGTTAAGTTGTTTTGGTTGTTACCCTAGGGCTTGGGTTCGAACCTGACCGCCCCCACCTTTTTTTACCACTCTTTCCTTTTCATTTTCCTTCATTTATTTTTTTATTTTATTTCCTTTAACTAATTTCATTTATTATTCTTATTTTTGTTTATTATTTTTATTTAAACCTTTTATTTAATAACTTATAAATACAAAAATATTAATATTATTTATTTCACTTATTTTATCTTTATTTACACAAAATTATAAATGTTAAATTATATTTTTAATAATTCTTATATCATTTTAATTTAAACTTCTAAAAGTCAAAAAAAATATTTTATTTTTCTTTTCTTATTTATTCTTCACTTTTTTAAAATCTGAAATACATTTATCCTTTATTTATTTATTAGTTTTCTTGTGCATTTATACACTTTGATTATATTTTATCTTGAATAGTTTGAAATTTTGTTGAGTGTATTATTCATGCTTGTTTCAATTTGTTTAAATGATAA